GTGTGTGTGTGTGTGTGTGTGTGTGTGTGTGTTTGTGTGTGTTCCAGGAACATTACCTTCATCTTCCAACAGTACAGGTGTGTGTGTTTACAGGTACACACGGGTCAGTGAATTCATCTCATTAAAGTTCATCCTGAACTGAAACACAGGAGGTTAATGTTCACACCCCCAGGGACTTCTGGGAATCTACAGGAAGCACCGTACAGTTAATCTGTTTGTACTTGTTATAATTACTCCTCTGGTTAATCTGTCTCTGTCCAGGCTGCGCAGTGAAGGATTATGGGAACCTGGAGTTTGAGGAGGTGACAGAGGACGAGCCGGTCCGGGGTTCCAGCAGGGTTCGGGCCGTGGGCAGCGCCAACCACAGGCTGTCGGAGGCGGTGCAGGCGGTGAAGAAGGACGGACACACAGCCGTGATGCTGGGAGGGGACCACAGGTCAGTCAACAGGAAGTGACACGATCAATGAGACACAGTTTGACAAAGGATTTGTCTGTTTCTGAACTCGTGTCCTTCAACAGGTCCTTTAAAGGCTGAAGACGTTTCTTTAAATCAAAGATCAAACTGACGAAAGGTTTCTGTCTTCAGTCTCGCCATAGGATCGATCCACGGTCACTCTGCTGCTGTCGGACCGCTGAGCGTCCTGTGGGTCGACGCCCACGCCGATGTCAACACGCCGCTCACCTCCTACACCGGGAACCTCCACGGGCAGCCAATGTCCTACCTGCTGCATGAGCTCAGGTCGAAGGTAAGCTCCTCCCCCTGACCTACCTGCTGCATGAGCTCAGGTCGAAGGTAAGCTCCGCCCCCTGACCTACATGCTACATGAGCTCAGGCAAAATTAAGCTCCTCCCCCTTCCCTACCTGCTGCATGAGCTCAGGTCGAAGGTAAGCTCCGCCCTCTGTCCTACCTGCTGCATAAGTTCAGGCAAAAGTAAGCTCCTCCCCCTGACCCCGCACTACCTGCTGCATGAGCTCAGGTGAAAGATAAGCTCCGCCCCATGACATTACCCTACCTGCTGCATGAGGTCAGGTGAAAGGTAAGCTCCGCCCCCTGGTTCAGGATGGTTCTGATTTTTGTCTCTGCAGGTTCCTGCTCTTCCAAACTTCTCCTGGATGAAGCCGTGTGTCTCAGCCCGGGACCTGGTCTACATCGGTCTGAGAGACGTGGATCCAGCTGAGCAGTGAGTCCACCTGTCTCTGTCTCTACCTGTCTGTCCCCACCTGTCTGTCCCCACCTGTCTGTCTCCACCTGCCCACCTGTTGTTTTGTGTCCACAGTTACATCCTGAAGCTACTGGGGGTGAAGGTGTTCTCCATGTCACAGGTGGACCATCTGGGCGTGGCCAGAGTCATGGAGGAGACGTGTGACTACCTGTGCTCCAGGTGAGCCTAACCTTTCATAACCAGGCTGCTTTCACTTCCTATTTTAACTCGCGGATGTTTTTTTTTTTTAAAGCGTGAAGAAACCGATCCACCTGAGCTTCGACATCGACGCCATCGACCCCTCCATTACCCCGGCAACAGGAACACCTGTGGTGGGAGGCCTGACCTACAGGGAGGGTCTCTACATCACAGAACACCTGAGTCAGACAGGTACGGCACCGTCAGCGCTCCAACAGGTTTTTATTTAAGTTTGTCTTTTGGAAGCACTGAGGTCCAGACCCGGTTCTGTTCAGGTCTGCTGTCGGCGGTGGACCTGGTGGAGGTGAACCCTCTGAGGGGCCGGACCGAGGATGAGGTCCGCTCCACCGTCGGCACAGCCGTCGACCTGCTGCTCGCATGTTTTGGACGCGTTCGCGAAGGGAACCACCCGTCGGACTACCACCTGCCTGATCCATAACCAGGCCGGCGCCGGGCCGTCCCACTGCACCTGAACTCACCACGCCGAGCCTCAGAGACCAGCAGAGACCAGCAGAGACCAAAAGAGACCAGCAGAGACCAGAAACCGGTCCGTGGTGCTTTCATCAAACCTGCCGTCACTGAAGCGTCTTCCAGATTCTGGCACCTGTCAATCAAACTGCTGATTTTTATCTGAAGAATAAAAAAAGTTCAGAAAAATGAATGTTTAGAACAAAAATACAAATGTTTGTTTACAGAACACCAGTGTCAAACTGATCACCTGGTCCTGGATTAAACTTTTATTAATCTGGGATTATTTTTCATTTATTAGCTCAAATCTACAACATTTTTTATTTTCTATTGTGAGCAACATGACAGTCACATTTAAACAGTGTTGTATAAAGTACCACAAAGTGATGCTTGAATAAAAGTACAAGTATCTTACCAAAAAATTACTTTGGTAAAAGTTAAAGTCTCCTTTAGGAATATTACTTGAGTAAAAGTCTTAAAGTATGTGATATTTGTTGTAGTTAAGTATTAAAAGTCAAAGTA